TATTTCCACTTTCTCCCCGCGACTCCCCGTGTGATAACGTCCCTACAAACATAACTCCATGCTTCTTAGTCCTGCTCCAAATGGAAGACATTTTGGAATTCCTCCTGGGCAGATGGTTGAAATGTAGGATATCTCCTGGAAAAAGAGGACCTCTGGTCACTCTGATCTGGTCAAAGATCCTTTCTCACTACACAGATATAGTGCTATGATTCCAGATTAAAAAGTATGATTCCATCCTACGGATTCCTGGGACTGGCAGTTAAGGAGAGCTACTTTGAAAGCTGAGAGCCAGCATGGTGTAGTGGTTTGTGTGTTAGGCTAAGACTCTAGAAAACCAGGGTTCAAATCCCCATAACTGGCCATGGAAACCTACTGGGTGGCCTTGGCAAGTTACACTCTCTCAGCCTCAAAGGAAAGCAATGGGAAACTGCTTCTGAACAAATCTTGCTAAGAAAACCTCATGATAGGGTTGCCATAAGTCAGAGGTGACTTGAAGGCACACAACAGTACTTTGAAGGCACCAGGTGCCATCTGAACACTGAAGCTTAGCAGAGTCAGGCTTGGTTAGTCCTTGGATGGGAGTCCACCAATGAATACCAAGTTCTGGAGTCTGTATTTCAGAGAAAGGAACTGACAAACCTACCTCTGAGGATTCCTTGCCTAAGAAATACCTGTAAAATTCATGGGGTTGCCATAAGTCAACAGATAACTTGAAGAAACATACATATACATACACACATACAAAAGGCACCGGATCCTATATGCTCTTGGAAACTAAGCAGTGTCAGCTGTGGTTAGTACTTGGATGGGAGACCACCACTAAATCTCAGGTGCTGTACACTGCCTTTCAGAAGAAGGAGCTGGCAAAACTACCTCTCAGGATATCTGGCCTAAGAAAAAAGTTTGAAAATCCACAGGTTGACAGGTGGCTTCAAGGCAAATACATAATATAACACAGAATCTAAAAACCCGCCAGGTCCCGTCTGCTCTTGAAAGCTAAGCATGATCAGCCCTGGTTAGTGCTTGGATGGAAAACTGCCAATGAATCCCAGGTGCTGGAGGTGATATTTCAGAACTGGCAAAACCACCGCTGAGCATTCCTTGCCTATGAAAGCCCAGTGAAATTCATAGGGTCGTCTTAATAAAAATTATTCTCAAAAAAAAAATAAAAAAAAAAATAGGGTCACCATAAGTTGAGATGCAAGTGTAAGGCATGCACACACACAATCAGAATCTCCAACAGGAACACTTTAGTGTGTCTCTGAACTACCAGCCTTGAGGTTGCATAGAATATTGCCATGGCTGTTAAAGTGGAATGATAGCTCTATAAATGTAAAATATGAAAGAGCCCCTGGACACACAAAACTGGAATGTCAGAGTGGAAAACACCAGCATAGCCTTTTTTTTCCTCACTTGCTGTTCATTTTAGTTATTATTCATTGCCTAACAGAGAAAGGGTTTCCCAACATTTGGGAAATGCTGTCAGAAAAGCAAAAACAAAATAACAACAGAACAGAGAGCCTTTTGTACAGTTTTATCCTGATATTTACACATCCTGGAATGTTCTGCTGAATTACCCTGTGCAGAAAGAAAGAAAAAATTCTCCAAACATTTTGGGATGTCTGAATACCAGGAAAACACTGGCAAAAATCTTCACACACACACACACACACCATGTGGGGATAAAATAGACAAAGATTTGCATTCCTAGTTTTTAAAGAGAAGACATTCTTTCCCTTCAAAGGGCATTCAAACATGCAAATTCCACTTTTATACACACACACACTGAGAGAGAGAGAAAAAGAGAAGCATGAGGTGGTACAATCAAAGCAAAGTTTCAGATGAGATTTGTCACTGCTTTCCTCTGAGGCTGAGAGAGTGTCATTTGTCCAAGGTCAGCCTGTGTTGTTGTGGGGGTGGTGGTTATGCCTTAGTGGGGATTTGAACCTTGATCTTCCAGAGCCCTAGCCCAACATGCAAACCGCTTTCTAGTTATGTTCCTTCAAGTAAACGGCAACTTATCGTGATCTCCTCCTTGGGTTTCCTTGGCCACATTTCTTCAGAGGTGGTTTATCATCATTGCCTTCCCCTGAGGTTGAGAGAGTGTGCTTGCCCAAAATCACATCCAAGAGGTTTCCATGACTGTACAGAGACTTGGATCTTTATTTTCCAGAGTCCTAACCCAACACTGAAAGCACTGTATTTGTGTCACATTGACTTGGTGGAAGAGATAAGTGAGGTCTGATGGAGTTGGCTGGTGGCCCCCGTATCACTGGGGAGGTGAATCCATGCTGGGGTTTAGGATAAACTTTAAAGGACCTAGCAAGGGTGATAAATGTCACCCCAAATAGATTCTTTACTATTCACACTAAAACCCAGAGGGGATTCACTGGCTCACAGACGGGGAACACAATGACTGCCCCCGAGTCTGCTTTTCTTCTTCTTCAAATGAGAGTTTCCAAATAATCGAGGATCTTGGAATAGATCATAAATAGTCCAATATTTCTTAATGTCTTTGCTGCCTTCTCTAGATGGTCCTCCAAGAATTTCAGCCTTTAAGACTTTGCAGGGCTCAAAATGTGGAGTACTGTCCAAACTAGGGGAAGCCAATTGTGTCATCGGGGAATTACCCTGTTCTTCCATGTGCAGGCAGGTGCGTGATCCAACCATGTTATGAAACATGTTCTCTCTCCTTGAACCCCTCTCAGGCTAGGCCTGCACTGATGGGAAAACTTGGCTTGTTGTTGGGGCTTCCAGATCTACAGCGAGGATGAGCTGCCCATACAACTGGACCCATGATGGGCTGATATCAGCAACACTGTCTGCACACTCCCCAGGAGACCCCTCCCCTTCCTTTCCCATGTTTTATGGAGGCAACAGTCATCCTAATGAGTGTCAGTGCCATGTACTGGTGGTATTGTTGTGCTAATTTGTGCTTGTGCAATCAATTTGCACATCTGTAAAAAAAATGGCACCAGAGGAACTATGGGTAATTGAAAGTGAAAGTGAGTGCCCTGCATCCAGAACCTGGATATGGAGTCTGACTCAGAGATGGAAGACATGGACCTGCTGGGACCTTCTTGCTGAACCAGAGTGTGAGGAGGTTCCAGAACCACATATCTCAGAGACAGACCAGAGTGCAGGACCAGCTCTGGCAGAGAGTTCTGCCATTCAGATACAGAAAACAACTTAGCCCTACCTATCTCTGCCAAGTGGAGACTAAGGGGGGAAGCAGACAGCGTAAAGCGCCGTTTTCGGGGCAAGGAAGGGGAAGGGCAGCTGCACAGTGAGTGCCCCAACCCCTTCCCCAAAACGTCCTTGGAGCAACCAGCCCTCCACATGGCCGGCGCTCCGAGGATGACCTCCCGATGCAGCGTCCATATACGCTGCAGCGGAAGAGTCGCCGAAGGTGTTCCGGCAGCCTTTTGTGGCGCACCTTCAGCGATTTGTGGAAGGAGCGCTATTTTAGCGCTCCTTCCAGGGGCGGTGAAGCTGCACCACGGGGCCGAGGTGTGCGGATACCTAGGCGCCGCGGCGTAGCTTCCTGGGGCAGCCCCGTGCCGCCCGTCTGCTTCCCCCCAAAGAGAGGGCCTGAGGAGGTCTCAGAGGATTTAAAGGAAGCAACAATTAATTAGATACCAGCTGTGTGCTGATCTATAAATTCCCAGGAGTTGTTGGAGATTATCTGACTTACCTGGCTCCCCATTATGTTCCTGAATTCTGTGCTTGATCTGCACTGTGTTTGTTGACTCTGGATGCTATTTACCTGACTTAGAGATTGCTGAACTGTTTGGGACTTAAGGCTTGCACTTGCTAAAGTAAAGTAAGTGCTGAACTGTAAACTGCTCTGTGACTTGGCTTGCTCATTAGCTGCTGGCTATCAGCTGTGTAGCAATCAGTCTTTGCCTGGACTTTATCTCCTTGGAGTGAAAATTGGACCCATGTTTTGCCTGCTTTGACCCATGCATCATCTAAACAGGTCAGTATGGGAATGGGGCAGGAATGTTTCTTCTCTTCTGTGAGGACATGGACTCAGTGTGGCCTCTCTGCTTGGAATTAATCTGGCACAGTCATAAATTATTATTCAAGAGAATAATAAAGACAAGAACCAGCTTGATGTAGGGGCTTCAGTATTGAACTGGGATTCTGGGAAAGCAGGGTTTAAATCTCTGCTCATCTATAGAAGCCTGCTAGGCAAGTTATATTATGTCAGCTTGAGAAGAAGGCAATGGAAGACCTATTCTGAAGAAATATGGCCAAGAACATTAAGGGGGGTTGCAGACTGCCAGAAATAGTGCAAATTGAGTCCACTTTTAGGGTTAGGGTTAGTGCTAGGGAATCATGGGAACTGCATTTTATTGTGGCACCACAGCTCTCTGACAGAGAAGGCTGAATGTCTCAGAAAAAAACAATTCCCATGATTCCCTAGCACTAACCCTAACCCTAAAAGTGGACTCAATTTGCACTATTTCTGGCAGTCTGCAACCCTCCTAAGTCTCCACGATGTAATGGTTTGAATGTCAGACTAGGGATGTATCCACACTGCAGAATTAAAACTGTTTGACACTACTTTTAACTGTCATGACTCTGTTCTACAGAATCCTGGGATTTGTAATTTGTTGAGGCACCAGGGCTCTCTGACAGACCAGGGTGAATACCTCACCAAACTACAAATCCTAGGATTCTACAGCAGGGGTAGGCAACCTTTCCCCTTTAAGGGCCGAGGCACTTCAGCTCCCAGAAGCCTCAGCCATGTTGGCCAATAGTCCCATGTTGGCCAACGGCTCCTGGGATTCTGGGAGCTGAAGTCCCTCGGCCCTTAAAGGGGAAAGGTTGCCTACCCCTGTTCTACAGGATAGATTTGTGGCAGTTAAAATGACATCAGATAGCTTTAATTTTTCAGTGTGGATATATCCTAGGATTCAGAGACACCAAATCTGGGAATTATAGTCAAAAAACAGAAAAATTCCATCCTTCACTTGTCTTTGTGTTCAGCGGCCATGCTGGATAGGAGATTCTGAGAGTCCAAAAGAGAACCTGTTTTATATTTTTCTTGTCATTCAAATTCAGAATCCACCAACTGATCACCTCTGGAGGGGCCTGAGGTCTGATTTCCTTTTCCTGTCTCTCACCACATGCCATGGCTCACTTTCTCCCCTTCTAATACTAACCCTTCTGCAGACCACCCAGTGCTGTCCACCTTAGCCATCTGAGCGTGATGCACAGACATTGGTATGAATTGGTACAGCTACACGTGGGGGATTGGGTTTCTTGGGAACATGACATAATCCCTCGCCAAGAGAAGATGCTGAGCAGGCGTGGGTGAGAGACCTTTGCATGCTAAATATAAAAGGAAGGGAA